AATCCCTTTGTCCGTGCGCTTCGCTTTTGCCCATAAAAAGAGGGCGCGCAACAAAGCATCGCGCGGATTTAATTATTGTCAAAAAGCGAGATAAATTGCAGAGTTCAGCGCTTGAGGATCTGCACCGATGAGAGTCTCCTTGGCACGGAACATTTAATGGGATTACGTGTAAATTATTTGGGAATAAAATTTGTCACTCTCATTGTTGACTGTATTGTTGTATTGCGCGCAGAAGAGAAGGCAAATGTGTGGCAAAGCGCCCCATATTGAGGAGGATCGTGGGGGCGTTGCTGTGGCGCGTCCCAAGAGCGGGAAGAGCGAGAGGAGGCAGATTTTGGCCACGAATGACACCCGTTGCCCAACAAAGCGGTTCACATCGTAAAAACATGGCAACATTGGTGTGGAAAAATCCTGATGGAGCGATCATTTAAGTGGAAGAATGTTGTTCGTGTAAGTCCAATAAAATTTCCATTAGTATAAAAGAATAGTATAACAGTATTGGGGTATACCTTATTCCCTTTTATATTGTGTTAGGCTCACACATTCAATTACATGGCATTCTCCAAGCCATTCTCCCTTCTCCATGGAGTGTAAACCCAAACGGAGGCGAGTGATAAAAACCGCCTTAGACGAAAATCTCATGTCTCTGACACTCTATTGAAGAGATGGGGGAACTTTCGGGAGCTTAGAAGACGAGGAGGGATGGCTGGTGTGTTTCTCATGCGTGAGAAAGCCAGTGTAAGCGTCAAGGGGGAGATAATATGCCTCAAATCTGTACTTCCAAATAAGCCTGACAGACAATCTCTTAAGTTTCCATCCGATATTTCTGCAATTAATCACTTAATACCACTCTTTGGGCATCTTTACCGATCATAACCTAAAAATATCACTAAGAGATCTTCAAAAACTCATTTTGAAAGGTTTTCAGATCACAAAATCCTCTGTTATAATATGCCAATGAACTCAAAATTGCTAATTCAGAGTCAAAATCGTGCAGGAAGTTTTCTAAATAACCATTTTCCCAGTCCAAATGCCTGTTTTTGAGGTTATGTGCGATCTCAACATAATTTGCAGTGTTTCTTGGCATCAATGGTGCAGATTAGGAATGTTTATCGCATTCAAAAGGATTATTGTGATTATTTCTTCGCAAAAATCAAGGAAATTCAAAGAATCGGGAAAATTTAGCAGTGAAAGAAGCAAACAGGAAAGGAATGTTTTAGGATATATACCATTTCTGACTATATTATTTCCCCCATTGGAGAAAATTCTGATAAAATCTCCAGTATCAATGAAATTCAATGCATAAAGTCGATGAATGTAGGGAATAATATATCCTCCTTGTATTTCAGCACGCTGCTCTCCATGTTTTACAACCTCACCCGAGGCAGGAAATTCTCCGATACCAGAATGAGATATTTGAGTGAATGTTAGCAGGAAGAGAGGATTGGCAGCAATAAGGAAAAAATTGCACACAATATATTTGTGGCTTTAATGTGTGGCATTTTCACACATCTTCTCCCGAAGACACTCTCCAGCTCCGCTTCCCCAACCACAATTCACCCCCAACTCGTCAGACCCTAATGCTAAATGCCCGCTTGAATGAGTGTTCCGGGTAGCAGACAAGTTGCGCTATGTGGAGAAGTTTTTCCGCTGGAGGCGATAGATAACACATTTTTTCTCAAGTACCGCACGAAGGACTGTGTGAATACGTTCTTTTTCTGGCCGCCAAAGACGGCTCAGAGACTTCTTCGACACACACACCAAGTGTTTGCCCTCCACTTCCGCCCACTTCTTTTGCCCTGCCACAACACAAAATAATGTAATCTGCCGCCCTGACGTGTGACGTTCACAACAATTTTCTGTGACGAGGAACTTTCTTTGTTTGTCACGGTGCTTTTTGTCATGCCAATGCCACCATAAAGGAGTCTCTCCTCAGCACCGAATGGGGAAAAACCTCCTTGACACCATCGAAGAATTGAATTTTGCAAATTGATTAACGGACAGATTTTTTCGCCCCAGCGCCGGAAGAGTCGATCGACTTTCTATGAACTATTGACCTCGGCAAATTTTCCATACATCCTGAGTGTGAAAGAGAGAGAGAGAGAGAGAGGAAGCTTTTGAGAGCTTTTTCATGGGGGGTTTCAGCGGAATTCCTTGAGAGTGGAATAGAGAAGATGTTGCAATTTCCTTTTGTATACAAACTCGTGTTGTATGTATTTATAATCTGTGCCAACATGGAATGGCGTCTTGTGTAATTTTCACACCCAGATTGTATTTCCAGCCCCTTTCCGGTGGTAAAATTTTGCTGGCAACAGCATTTTCCACATTTACGATGTTGGTCGTAAATGAAAAATCAGCTTCTCCTCAGTCAAATGACAAAAGGATTTTATCTGCCATATGTGGTTGCCATCGAGTTTCCTCATTTTCTCAGCTCCACTCTGACACTGTTATTTCAATTTATATCCATTTTATAGATATTTATGGAAATAAACAAGATAAGGAATCATTCGATTGATTAATGTCGTAAAATTGTCCTGAGTGTGTGTGTTTGTGTGTCTAATTTTGCCCTGGAAAGCTTCTTGAGATTTGAGATGAATTACGAGATAGAATATAATTTCCTCCGCTCTCTATTCTCCCCCTCAACAACGCCAAATCCCTCGGATTACACTTGGTTCAGCGAGGAGTTTGTGATTAATATTCCCTGACTTTTTGCCTTAACACATGCAGAGCGCGGGGCGCGCGCGGAAATGGGTGTTGCGCGATGGTCAACAACTCCGCAGCGTCCTCGCAATTCACTTGATAAATTCTCACCCCGGAATAGTTTCTGCTGAGGAATCCCACCCCCGGCCTCGCAACTAATTAACTCCCAGCGACAGGGGAAGGAAGGAGCTGTGCAAAGCCACAAAACTTTATAGTTAGAACTTTTAGTCATAATAATTAACTTCTTATTCCTCCTCCGAATCCCTTCGCATACACAAACAATGTGTGTGTGTGTGTGGCAAAGTGAGGGTGTTTTTCGGTGAATAAAAATTAAATTCGGGTTAGAGAAAATAGAGTCATTTCGATGATGCTTTAAGTTTAAATCTACGGCAGCAACACACATTATATTGTGGGCAATGCAAGAAGTTTGCAAACCCTTCTCATCTCCGAGCGATGGTCTGGCTTTGGTTGGGGCGCAAAGGTAGGGGAGGATTGGGTAGTTTGATCACTTTCTGACAATGCTACGAGCCGGCGAGAATGAAGAGGGTTGAGCGTGTTCGTGTAGCATTTATAAGTGAATGAATTTCATATCTTGAAGGGATCTCGCCACTTTTGGTGAAACATATTTGACAATGTGCCATCCACTCTCAAATGCATGACACGTCGCCTATTGTTGTCTCTTTATTCATTCGACGGTGACTGACTTTTTGGGGGATAAATACTCGTGTCGCTGCCATTCGCCCGCGCGTCAACCGACAATGAGGTGTTTTCGCGTCGCGAGAGCGCGAGAGACAATTTGGACCCCATTCAATAATCGGGCGCGCACCTCCTGTAAATTACCCGAGCGCCAGCGTGAATATAAAATGACGTAATTAATTGTCATCCGGATGACTCTGCCGTGGCTGGCAATTCCACCACTCATATGGAGAGAGTGTCACCCGATAGTTAACCGTGGAAACAATTTAAATGAAAATCCATGAATCATTTAATTCTGGCTGAAGCGCCACTCGACACTCGAGTGACTCTCCGCCCGCATTAATTGAATTTGCTGTGGTGAACGCAGACCCCGCGAATGGTGCTCAATTCACGCCGCGCGAAGAAGCTCGCGCGATATGCAAATGCCAAGATGTTCTCCAAGCATTCTGCAGCGTGCAGAGCTTGAATGGCAGCCGAGGAGAGTGGATAAATTCCAGCAACTCCCGCGATACCGCCGATCCCAGCATTTCCACCAATATTGGGTGTTGCTGGGAAATGTGAACAATATTTAGTGGTAAATCCCCGACAACATCAGACACTCGCGCGCGGATTCGATGCTCGGCAGAGGGCAAAGTTGAAAATTTCATCAAAATTGCCAACTTTCCAAAAACAACGAGAGTATTTAGAGGAGCTTTAGGGCGAAAAGCTCCAATGTCAGGATTAATTTAGTCCGTTTGCGGCCCAGAAAACACCCGCAAAATGTTACATGAAACAGACCAAAAATATAGCGTAAATGCTTTGATAATCCACTTTCGCGCTATTAAAAGAATATTATTGGCAGTTTTCTTGACCTAATCCACATGTTTACATGCAACTGTACAGACATGAGTGATAATAAACAACTTAGAAAAGAGAAGCATTCTTGCGGTCTGACGAGTTTCTCAAGCAACCTTGAAATTTCCCCGAAAGATTCCGCCCAAGATCCCTGAAACTTTCATCCACTGCACTGATGATGGAGTCATTTGAGGGGGTTGAGAAGCTCCATGCCGTTTGAGATGTGAATATCGTGAGCATTAGCATAAAGTTTTATGATCATTGACGTCTTTTTTCCTCCATAGAGCCATTCTCTATCAAAGTGAAAGATGTGTCTATTGTGATGAAAATTGGTAACTCCCCTTCAACCTCTCCCGCTGCCATTCGGCATTCGGCACAAAAGCGCCCATTCAAGTGCAATTTGGCGGAGTGAGTCAACACATTCTAATTATGAGATGTGTGCGCGCGAGTGTGCGGTGAAAATCCGACAATTAGAGAGTACTCCAGATCGATTTAAGTGCTCGCATCTGACGGATGAAAGTCTGCGGCCCAGCGTGTGGCGCTTTTTGCCAGGTCTGCCGAAGAAAGCCGGGCGTGTGCTTTAAAATTTGGCACGCGGGACAAGTGAGCGGCGGAGCGATGCTTTTAACAAGAATCAACATTTCACGCTGAGCTGCTGCTCCATTTGGGAATTGCCAAAGGGGGAACGGGGAACGGGGAAATCGATACAAATGGTTGTGACGTCGGCAATGAGATTGGGAGCGGCGGCAGGGCAGCCGGGCAATACTCACAGTTTGATCAGTTCAATTGGCAAATCGACAGGCACTTCAACGAGCTCCAGACCCTTGCACACGAGCACCACCTCCTCGGCACTCCCCGAGCACTGGCAGCCTCTGGCCTCCCACGCGGCGCAGATGGCCCGCAGCGTCTTGCCCGTGGCCACCTCGAACTGCTGCAGCGCCTTGTCGTACAGCTCCTTGGCTTCGCGCTCGGGATCAGACGCGGGTATGACCACGGACTCCCGGATGCCGTGCTTGGTGGATGATGGAGTGGCCATGGTGGTGCTGGTGGCGGCAATTGGGACGCACAGGATGACACAGATAAGGAGAACAATCGGATGTCGTCCCACTGATGGACTGCCACTTATTTCGTTGTCAACAGTAATTCGTTGTTGCACAGCCATAACCGACAATTTAGTAATCGCCGCTCACACATTACTCTCAGCGCACTCCATCATGTGATCTATGGGCGATCCGACAAGAACAGCGACTGTCTCGAGCACCACTTAATCACATACTCTCCCTGGCAGATGCAACTTGTGCTACAATGTGCTAAATGGCGAGTCGTCACTCTGTCTCCTTGTGCTCGTCACCTCGCGTCAATTTCCCACGCGGGCTCGCCGCGCTGAAGATCTCTCTGCCAAAGAGATGAGAGAAAGAGATTAGTGGAGGGAAATTTCCAATACGCTCAGTGCTTCGCTGAGTGGCGGCGAAAGGGGCACAACGCCAAAATTCACGGGCAATGACGAGAGAGAAATGCAAATATTCGTGCTGTTCGTGTTCAAATACAGGAAATCAATTGCTTCTGTGTCTTCTTGGCACATTTGATGGCTCAAGATTAATTGTTTTAAGCTCCGCCCCCTCGAAAGCCCCGCCCACTTTAATAATCAACACAATGAGATCACTTTCCTTCCCTGATTGGAGACACAAAAAGCACAAATTTGTCTTAAACCGATAGACACGAGTTGAGTTGCGCAACATTCTTGTGAAAAATACTCTATTGCGCGTGCAGTTTGTGCCCGTTTCGCATGCCATGAGCGCCGCATTGACTCTTATGAATTTGAATATCGTACAAATAAGCAGAAAAAGGCATCTTGACGCTATAAACATTCATCAAATTGACTGTTTGACCCAATTCCGTGGCTTCTTAGCTCTTCCATCGCCACCAGTGGCACTAAATTGGCAAATTCGAGAGTGAAACACGTGTACGAGACAATTACTGCGTTTTGATCTCATTTATCTCTAAAATGTCTCGCGAGCGGTGGAAAATTTGCCAGCGGCTAATGTCTCATACATTTTCGCAGAGATAATTCTCTTTGTGCCGTTGAATTCTGCGGGAATCCTCAACGGAAACATGTGTGCGCGCGCGAGTGGTGAAAAAGTGGGAGGGCAAAATAGACTTTGATTTACATTTCTTTGCCATTCCAATAGAGTCAAATGGGATTTTACAAGAATCATAAATTTACGTGACGATAAGTCTCGGCGCAGCGGCAATGTTGCATGATGTGAGCGGGATAATGAGAGCAAATGAGAGTGAAATTGAGGCCGTGGGAACGCGAAATTGATCACTAATGACAACAATTCATTCGCATCATCCACAAATATTTCGTTCACTCTTTAATTTGGCGGACCCTTTTTTGCATATTATGCACCACACAGTGTCGCATTTCCTCGGCAACATTTTCCAACACTCACAGCAACAACATTATGCTCGTGGAATTTATTTATTCTGGCCCGCTGTGCACAATTTACTCTCTCTGGTGCACCGAATGCGATTTTAATTAACATTCTCAATTTATTCAATACATGAAAATACTCCGGTGCACCGAAGGAGTGTAAATCATTTCTCAACAGCTCCCAGAGAGTGCCTCTTGGCTTTGGAAAATTGATTTACTTTTTCTTGCCCGCGTGCAGAATTTTTCCCTCAACTCCGGCACGACTTTGGCAAATACACTTTGGCAACTTGATGCACAACACAAGCACACGATGTGATGCAACTCTGCGCGCCAGTCAATATCGGTGTTAAAATATTTATTGCAGGAACAAGTTGATAAACACGTTTTCAATATTCAATAGGTGTGCTTTGCCGAGAGAGTGACTCCATTTCGTCAAGAAGTTCATCGCGCGCGCGGTGAAAGTACAAGAATAATGTGTGCGCTCTGTTTGTGACTGATACTCTCAGCCGAATGCCCCTTGCGGGGGAGATTAATGGAATGCTTCCCGCACAGATAGTCAATGCCATCACTCGCAGTCCGGTGACTGGGCGACGGGGTCGTGATTACTCGTGGAAAAGGAGTTCGAGGGATGCTTCTGACGGCCAATTTGGCGAATTGAAAGAATACAAATGCATCTCTTTGACTCTCACTTCCACAGTTTTAATTTGTGCACCAATTCGATACCCTTCATCGCCCTCGAAGACTCCAGAACACCCCTCAATAGCTACCCCAATAATCTCAGCATAAGTTTTCCCCACTCAAATCGACTTTTGATGGTCTCTTCCGGTTGTAAACTTCTTGAATTAACTCATCAATGAGTGCAAAACTTTGCTGCACTTGTGATTCATTGGCGCGCACCGTGGCGGTAATTCAATTTGAAAACTCCTGCTGAAATCAATTTCCCGCAATGGGAAAATGCCCTAAATTACCGTGAAATGCTGGCACAACAGCGCTTTGCAGGATAAATGTGTCTAATCCGTGAGGCACAATTGGGCATTACCTCGATACTTTATGCCTTTATCGACTGCCACGTTGCATAATTCCGCAGATTTTGTATTTTTAGCCAAATAATTGGGACACAGCTATGTTCTGCCTCGATGGCAGATTAAAGGATGCACGCGAAGCGGGGAAAATACTCGTGATATTTCACGGTCATTGGTTTTGGATGATCTCGTGGGATTTATTCGCGAATATGTCGTCGCAGTTCATAATTATACGACTCAGTTTAATTGGAGAGGATCTGTCTTTGATTAGTGCGCTGTAAAACAGAATCACGCCAGGAGATTGACTTTAATTAGAAACTTTATGGCTTTTCGTCTCGGATGGAAATAAAAAGACATTTTGGCGGGCTGAAGCGCTGCCAAAACTCAGAGAGAGTGAGAGCGAGAGAGAGCTTTCGAGATTCATTCATATGCTATTCGAGTGTCCGAAAAAAAATGCGCACTTTTTATTCCATCTCGCGCGTCGTGAAATATTCCTCACAACTCTCCAACTGAGTGTCACATTTTGCTAAATGGCCGAGTGCAGAAAAAACACGTTAAAATTAATTTGCCACAGACAAAATACAGTCAATGCGTGGGCGACGAATTCCTTTCATTGCAGCAGCGAAAAATCTAATACGGTCCGAAAATGTGGCGAAAGAGGAATTCCTCGGCGCGAAAATAGTGTAATTAATTGAAATAGTGTCAGAGTGGCAAATTCGCAATTTATTTTCTTTTCTCAAAATCAGCCTCTCTTTCTATCTATTGTGTCTGTCCGGCTGTTTTTGGCGCGGATGGCCTGCGGCCAGAGCAATTACTTTGCGCCCAACAAAGAAATTTACACTATGCAGTGCTTTATGGTGGCCTCATTGAGACGTGTCAAGTGGCTCTATTGGCTTAAAAGAAATTCAACCACAATTATAGTGCCGACAGCCAGCAATTTTTCCACTTTATGACGTGCGCCAGGCGATAAATGAATTAATGGGGGCTGGAAATTGGGTGCAATTTCACTCATTTTCATCCACTGAACTTTTCCATCGCCACTCCAGCCCTCCCCCCCCGCCTCTCAACACGCGACTTGAATATTGTTTCTATATTGTGATAAATGGGGCATGTGGGAGCCGCTGCTGGGGCGCCTCGTGGTTAAAATTGTTAAAATTCACAAGAGATCATTTTTAACGTGCACACAAGCACCCTCAGAAGCCGCTCTCTTTCCCACCACCCACAAAACGCCCCGCGCCCCAAACCCCGCGCACGATTTTCTCACTCTCCACACACTTTTTTTTGCCTCTTTGGAGCCTTTCCCGCCTGCACGCTTTTAGTATGTTGGCCGATGGACATGAGAAAACATAAATATCATACGGTTGATTGACTGATTTATTATTATTCGCAACATTCAAATAACTCGGATATGTCGGCAGTTTGTGAGGAAGCTCGTTAACCCATTAGGAGCGCGCCTGTGATGGAAACCGCACAGAAATATAGCATTTAAATTGGCTTGGAGAGTGATTTGCTTAGGCTATTAAACTTTTTATTTCAGTGCAATGGCAAAAGTTGAACTAGAAAAAGAGGTTTATAGAGCACTTGCTTCGCAATAGCGTGAATTAGAGGAAAACTGAGCAACTGCGAACAGTTTTCCCAGTGAAAATTGACAGAATTTCGAGATGTGAAACCCCCCCAAAATTGTGTCTCCACACTTTCCTCAGCATTCTGAATATTTAATGTCTTAATGTTTCTACGCTATTAAATTATTGGTTGTAGATTATTCAGTGAATATCGCAGTCGTTTGGGTTTAATTAATTAAATCTTAATGGCCACTTCAGAAGATTATCTCATATGGATTTGGTAATAAAACTAAGCTTGATTAATTTTTCAGTAGAATGGCAATCCATTAGCGTGTTTTCCTGCGCGACAGGTGTTAAAATTAGGTTGTTTAGTCTTTCTTCGATGAACAACTGCCATTGTAGGCACTGAAGTTCCACGCTGGGCTTAATCAAGTCATGAAATTAGTTTCTCACAGTTTTATTAGAGACTGGAGAGAACTTAGAGAACAATTCTTAATGGATCTGAACAGCAGAAATGACAGAATTTGCCTTAAACATCTGAAAGAGTTTTTCGCAACACTTTTTCCGCGAAATCGACCTTTTTACACGGTCAATTGCACTCCAAACTAAATTTCTGGAATAAGAGATCCTTCTAAATTAAATATCCTTTCTTGTGCAGCCGAAAAATCTGCGTACGATCCTCTGGAGTTGCGTATTGTATTCACTTACGCAAATTTTAATATCCAACACGTTTTAATATCTTCAAACTTGACAAGGTTTTACTTATTATTGAGCGAAAATTGGTGGAAATTGTCAGACGCAATGGGTTAACGGGGTGAGCGGACGCTGGGCGAAAGGGTCAAATTATGGGTGAACTAGAAAATCGAATGATTAATTTTGATGACCCTCATAAAGACGATATCTGCCAGACTTCATCAGTCCCTCTCGTTTTTGTTTATATCTCCCGGTGTATCGTAAAAAAATGGTTAATTATATAATAAAATGTGTTAAATGCCCCGCTCTCGGATTAAATTTCACGTGCCATTAGAGTGCGAATGGAGCGACTGGAAGGTGTGGGCAGGGCGGCTAATGAGCCGTAGATGATCATTAAAAGTATTTTAATATTTCTTCATTGGCGCTCACTCGCCCAGTGGTGTAAATTCCTCCCAACGTCAAAGGAGCAATAAATTTGTAAGTTGCCAGACGTGTGGCGCAGGAAGGAAGAAGTATCAACAAATTAATTTATGGGCTTTTCATGTGGTACCCGCAATTTCGCAGAGGTGTGAGAATTCCATTACAATTCGAGGCAGGAGAGCCAAGAGAGAGAGAGCCTCGGGTGAGTTATTGGTTCTGCAGCAACTGCGAAAATGGAAACTATTCCAAGGTACATCGGAGATG